TTCGCTACGGAATAGTGACTTTGTATTATCACGTTTTGAAACTATTTACTATGACAAGCACTCTGTCGGGCCGTTTTTGTGGTCAAAACTCACTAAAAATCAAAGGGATTCGCCAAGTTTATGCGTTTTCATAAACATAAGAAAACTGAACCGAGATGAGATTGTAATTAATAACAGCAATTGTAATCTTTGTTGTCAATAGGAATATTTTAGCTCTCTAAACTTTAAATTTCAACAATTTTCGTGTAAATATATAATTTCTATAAGTTTATTTTAATTGTAGTGTCCCCAATTAGTCTTCTTAGGCTTAACACATTGACACCTAAATAAAGGTCTAACTTACTTACTTACTTACTATTTTAAACTCTCACGAAGAACTAAGAAATACAAGAAGGATTAGCCTTGACTCGGTTGTGTGTATAAATTATTATCGGTTCCCCTCTTATGTTACACCATGACACCAATCAGATCTCCATTCCTTAAGAAATTTTGTTCTTTGATAGACTCACAACGGCAAATTTATTTAAAATTGATATTGCAAAGTTAGAAATTTTGATCAGGCGGAAGAAATGGGTCGGAGTAACTACCAAAGACGAATGTTCTCGGACACCTACCGGTATATGCATGTACTCGTAAAAAAGCATTAAGTCCTTTTCGAGTTGCCTCGTTTTTTTTTTTTTTTATTTTGCGAAAGCCCTGAAATTCTCTTTAATGTTCAGGGAAGGCTCCTGATTGACCAGGTAGCCTCCTGGCAATGCATGAAATATGCGTGGTGGCGTGTTGCTATTCAGCTGTCGAACGCCTTTAAATATGACTTTCGTGGGAGTTTTTCGCCATTTGCTTTCAACGCCAGAGCAACCGTGAATCTTTTTCAGATCCATCACACCTTTTGTTAACTCTCAACCTTTTGGCGCGTCTTATAACCGAGTAATTTAACGCAAGTTTCAATTTGGGAACTTGGCTTGACTAAGTTGCTGAGTTTGGGCTGCGTCTTATAACCGAGTGCGCGTTACAACCGAGAAACTACGGTAGTCTCCTGGCAATGAATGAAATAGGCAAACTGTCAATTGGAAGTGATTAACTTAAACGAAACTTACGAGAAAAACACATCGCTCAAACTTTGATGGGGCATCGACAAAAAGCTTGTCAGTGAATTTTTATATCTATTGTATATGTAGGTGCATAAGACGCTTAATGCGACCTGGGGAAATAGGTCTACCTTTTGTAATTTTTTTAGCAGGTCAGAAATTTGGATCAACCCGAGCATGTAGTATGACTTAAAGACATATTGTTCATTGTTTGCCTATTCAGACCAAAACTTTTGAGAATCTACTTTTAAAGGCGTTAAATTCCTAAGAGCGTCCTACCCTGAAGTTTCTCAGTGACAGATGTGTGGTGGCGTTTCGACAGACGCTAATTTTCTTTTTTATCAAACGCCGCCTCGGTCATGCGATCAGTCTAACATAGATCAATTTTTTGTTAAAAGCAGCGCGGACGTGGGCAAGCGTTATATAAATACACCCTAACACATTTAATGTTTATGGGGATGATGAGCTGGCCGCCATCGGATTCGCCGTCGTTAAAACTGTAGATTGATGCTTAGTTTTTGTTGTCACTGTTGAGTGCAGATGTTATCTTACAGAATTAAAAGAAAAAAAAGAAAGGAAAAAGAAACATAGTAAGTTGTCAAGGTGATATCTCTGACAGTTGAAAATTAGGAATAACCTGCGACAATTGACGGTATAACTTCTTTCTTTTCTTCTTTGAATGAGAATATGAGCAGTGTGATGTGGCTATTCTGACAGGTTTGATATATATCCTATGCGGCCATCACAATTTAAAATGCAGAGGAACTTCAGAACGTCACTCCAGCGGTTCTCAAATTATTGCAAAAGAGATCGATTAATGGATGAGTCTTCTTTGGCACTTCGGTCTCAAAGGGAGCAGTTTTCTCTGTTTTTGTAAGAAAATAGACATCTGAAAATGAAAATATGGCCCTTACGCTGAGAGCTGAAGTTGATTAAACTCAGAGAGACAAAAAAGTTGAAATTGGCGACAATCAGTCTAGTGTGTCAAGTTGTTTTTCTTTTAAACGATCGACAAATGTTAAGCTGGAATTAATGAAGCAATTATCTCTTAGGCTATAGCTGAAAAAGGTTTTACTTTCCTATTCTGCCCAATAGAATTCATGTTACAGTTAATCGTCGTGATTTAAATTGGTGCAGGTAGTCTAAGCATCAATAGTCAAAGAATTATCGAACTTAATCATGGCTAACTAATGTCCAGTTCCCTCAGCTGCACCTGAATTATCACGAAAACCCAGTTTTTTTAAGTAGTCTTTTATAGCACGACGTACTTCTGTATTTCTCCAGCTGTAGATAACAGGGTTTATCGACGAATTTATGAATACAATCGTTGTAGCATAGCTATAAGCGATTTTTATCGACAATGCATAGCCTTGAATCGCTTCTACTGCACTAACAGCAATAAATGGGAGATAAAACGCTAGCATAGCGCCATGAAGATAAAGTACCGTAGTTGCTGCTTTTTTGCATTTAATAGCATTAACTGCTTTGTTTTGTGACGCGGCGTTCCCAGCGTTTTGTAAATCTGCCATTTTTCGATTTTGGCCGGTTATTTGATATTGATGTCTTCGTGCAATTTGATATATCTTCAACGTGCAAATTGTGGATATTGAAATATTCACAGGAACTAAAGAAACTGGAATGATGACCCAGTTTCGGACCCAAAATTTCACAAAAACAGTGATACAACAAAATAGCCAAACTGCTATCATGGTTATCGTAACACGCCGCACTGTAATTATACTTCTGTATCGCAAGTGCAGTGTTAAGGCAAGCAGTCGATCGACAGAAACTGCAGCTAGAGTGATAAAGGATATGCTCGAAGTTATCCACCCACAAAAGAACTCAATCATTCGCAAGTTACAATACGCATTGAATTTTCCGAGGCTTTCTGCCAGCTTGTAGGCAACGAATGAGGGCTGGCCAACACATCCCACAAGAAAATCAGACCCTGCCAAGAAAAACAACAGAGCGAACGATGGCAAATGGAATTCCCGTTTCTTCCAGATTACAAGCATAACGATGCCATTTCCAAATACTGCAGGCAACACAAATACGGCGCTTACTACACAGGATGTGACACTCGCTGTGGCATCTTGAGAAGTTTTTGTCCAATATACTTCCATGAAAAAGCATTTTATCACATCGGTAGCATTCATGATCGACGAATCTGTGATGACATAAAGACCAAGCAACTCCCACGACCTTATGGCTTCATGGTTTCAAGCCGGAGAATAAATTTCAATTTCAGTTTCACCCGAAAAGGAGTTCATTTTAAGTACACGATTTAGAGACACGTGATCAGAAAACGTGATCACGTGAAGGGGAAGATAGATACGTCGTGTAAAACCCTGGAAAAGTAGTAAAATAACAAGTGAGTAAATAATTTACCTTTCACTGTTCAATTCTTTTGTGAACAACATTTTTTCGCTTTAAAATTACAATCCCTCCATTGGAAAAGTGGAACAATGTTTAAGAGATGAGGCTTTTGTATATATTTCTGGTGGTTTTTATTTTCAGTTTTTTTAATGGGACCTGTGGCGATCGTGGTGATTTGAAGAAATTTTGGAAACCCTGTTTTGTCGAAGATGAAATAGAAAACACGTGCTCAGATCCAAGTGACCCTTGTTACGGGAAATCAGGAAAACAGTTCAAGCTTATCCGGTTGGATGGAGTGAAGGTAACTGAATAAACGCGTATTGATACGTACATGTGCCTACAGAAAGAAACTGAATTTTTGTTGATGAAACTTTACATTAGTTCTGTAGTTTGCCGGCTAGCACAATGTTTTAGCTTTCTCATACCAGCTACCAAGTTATTAGCGCAGGTTGTGTTTCTTACTCTGAGCTGGTTGCAAGTGCTGGTAAACATAAATCAGTGGAGAAAAGACCTTTGTAAGAAAGGTGCACCTGTTAACTGAGGCCTCACTGGTGCGGGTGGAAGTGTGCCAAATTTGAAATTGTTTTCTTATGTGGCTTGTTACCGTCAAAAAAACGTGTTATGCTCAGTTTCGCTCATGCAGTCGAAATCTCTCAATATTTATATCATTGATAAAAATCAAATACCCCTGCGCGGTAGTTATTTTGAAATATAAGAGAATGAAATCACACTCAAATGTTTATCAAGTGTCATTGATCTATCTGTATTAGTTGAATTAAATCTCAGACTTGTCTAACTACCTAGGTGGAGTAAATTCATGCAACAGCTCCATTTGAAACGCAAAGTTACGGGAACATATGCAGTGCATTCACAAAAATCATCACCCATCATTAGCTGCCAAACTGAATGATTTGTATTAAATATATATTTGTTTTGAATCAGAAATGGTGCAAAAGGTTGTTCTCCTCTTATAGACCAATAGGCTTTCTCTACCATGCGAATAATGGCTCTACAACAATCAGTTGTTGTGTTGAGGTGTCCAGTTCAGGATTTTTAACCTTCCTTCTGATTCTAGAAGAATATTATCACTACGCACGCCAATTCAAAGCTCATTGCTAAATTGATTGACTTTGTCTGCATGTAGACAGGTCACGTGCAGTGGTTGGAAGTGGACGATGAGAGAAAGCCCGTAAAACTCAT